TTTTATTTGGAAAAAGCAAATTTAAAACAATATAAAACAAACTGGAATTTTTCACCAAAAGCACGGCAAAGAGGGTCATTTTATATTGATATGGGGTACAATTCTCTAAGTCAGCAAAACTTCCATGAGTCTTTATGTGTCAAATGCAGTGCATTGAAAGGTATAAAGGTCTAAAGCTAGTTCTCCTGGAAAAACCAGAAAGAAAAAACGTGAAACAGAGGGAGATTTTCACACAAATCTCTCTAACAGACCAAATACACCAAAACTCACAAGAATATAGAGGATCGATTTTATTAAAAAATGTTATTTTTCAAACAGAGGACGTACTTCCTTTTCTGTTGGTTATGGAACATTTATGAAAGTTGGCCATATGGTTTACCAAAGAGAAAATCTAAATAAATATCCCAAAGCAAAAAATATATGGGGCATATCTTTGACTACACTGTAATACAATTTGAAGTTCATAGCAAATGGTCACCAAAAAATGCAACAATAAGGAAATTTTAAGAACATTTTGTAAAGGAAAATTTATAATAAACAACAGAAGTTAGAGACTAATGACAAAGATACTGCAAATGGAAACGCAGGATGACACCAAAGGTGGATCAGAAGGAAATTCATGGTCTGAAATGTCTTTCTTACTAAATAACAAAGAATGAAAATTAATAAAATAAACACTCAATCTAAGAATGGGAGGTGGAAAGAGAACAAAATGAACATAAGCAAATGAGAAAGCAGATTTAATAAAGATACAGAAGAAATTAGTGCATTAGAAAATCATAAAATGATGAATCACAGAAGAAGGTTTTTTTGAAAGAACAATAAAATGTACATGCTGCTGCAAAGCTAATCAAGGAGAGAGCAGTCATGAACACAGAACACAAATAAAGAGAAAAGTGATAACAAATACAGAGATTATATTTCAAATTATTAACTATATATAACACTTTACTAATGATTCCGAAAATGTCAAAGTACCAAAATTGACTTAAGAGATAGAGCACTTGAAGGAACAAAACCTACCTAGAAGGATTTACTAGTAAATTCTATTAACTATCGACAACCAGCCAAGTCATGTGATGAATAAATTGATGGATGTATACACAGTAGGTGGATGGAAGAAAGGATAGATGGATGGATGGATGGTTGGGTGGGTAAATGGAGAGATGCACTGGGGCCTGGATCTGCAGAACTAGGGATTGGGAAGGGGGCTAACCAAGAATGAGGTGAGAGGAGGGAGTTTTAAGACTGCATAAGGCTGATGCTTGACTTCCTGCCAGAATGACCTTGGCCCATAACCACCTGGCCTAACAGAAATCCCCTCTGAAAACCTCAGGTTTGGTCGTTCCTGAAGCTGACAACCCCTGCACACAGGACTAGAGGCCCAGTGTTCACAGGATAATCCAGACAGATCAATTAAGCCAGTAAAACCAGACCCTGACAATGCCCAGGCTCTCCTAGCGATCTCCCCTCCCCTCCCCAGGAGCCCGCAGGTGCAGTCTCTCCAGGGGGCGGTGAGAGCCATGAATAGTAAGGGCTTTAGCTCAAGCACACAGAGGCGTTTAGCTGCCCAAACTTAATCCCCCAATAATCGGATTATGTAAATTTCTACTTCAACCCCTTTCCCTGGACCCAGCCCCTAAGGTCTCCATCCTGGGAGACTGGGATGGGAGAGGGCCCATCACTCTGAAGAATCACTGCTGGTGGAATAGTACACTGAAATTGTTTCCCCAGTTGTTCCTCCCCCGACCCCCATGTTAAAAATTGTAAGACCAACAATCACATTTGAGAAGAAGGTTTTAAGGAGAAACCAGATGTCAGACCTGGTTCCAGTGTGCCAACACAATCGTGCTCCTTTTTCTGTAGTCCTCGGCAGTGTCGGTCCTTGTCCGATTGCAGACAGATCCTGTTTTATAGCTTATCATTTCACTCAGCATCTGATCTTGCTGCCCCCCTTGCCACAATTCTTTTGTTTACAACTGTAGAATATGCCATTAAGAGAATATATTACCTCACAGGTGTTTGGCTAAGATGAAGGGTAATACATGGTCTTGATTTAAAATCTAACAAGAGCTCCATCACAATTGTGATACAGTAGGGCAGGGTGGAAAAGCTTGGGTACCGCGAGCACCCTGAGGCAGCAGCCCCCCTCCCATGGCACACAGAGAAGACAGAAAGGCAGAAAGGGGTCCACCAATGGGCGATGCCTACCGCACGTACTGGGTTATGTTTCTAAAGGCCCCTTTTGCGCCTATGCACAAATTGATCGATTACTTCTCTCCAACCCACCCTCCAATCCATCCTTTGCTCTGCCACCGGAATGATCCTCGTAACCTGTAAATCTAAACATATTTACGCCCATGTTCTAGGCACACAGTTGACTTCGCATGGACTGCCCTCTCCCCGACTCCTGAATGTGTAATTCCTATTTAGCCTTTCCTGCTCAGCCTTGGGCTCTGTGTTTTAGATGGCCCTGCTCTGGCCCTCCTCCAGCACCTTCCCCACATTCTAGATCACACACTCTGGGCATCCAAGACCTCTGAATTCCTGCTCAAATGGCCCAGATGCCACTTTCAGAGCCTGCACAGGGGTTTTCCTTAGGTCTGTGTGCACCGGAGTCCCCATCATATACACAAGGCCCTTCACAGAGCAGGACAGAGCTGGAGGGTAGGAAGAAATGGGATGCAGACAGGTCAGGAGTCTCCATTTGTACCCCTGTCTTGATTCCCACAAACGTCAGAGGCAGCCCTGCCTCAAGGCCTAGTTTAAATGCCATCCCTCCCGCAAGCTCGCTGATCTGCCAGCTAGAATCGTTTGCCTTCCTAACCTCAATTTCACACGCTCTGGTACTCAGGATGCTGTGTCTTGTACTTAGTCATTTTTGTCTGTCCTCTTCCTCCCAAAGAATGTGAACACCTTGAAGGCATATACAGAGTTTTCTCACCTTCCTGCCCCCTGAGAACCTAGCAATTCTTGCAACATCTTTTTTTTATTTTTAAGAAGAACTGTATCAATTCTTTTTTTGAGGAGAGGGACAAACAGTCCAAAAGTCTCCGTGGCTTACAGAAGCAAACATTTATTCCTCATTCGTGTTACACGAGGGCTGTGGTTGGCTATGGGTGTGCTCTGTGGCTTCCAGGCTGAAAGAGCAAACCCAAGCATGACTCTCTCATGCCTGAGCCCAACGAGCAAGGCCTCCTAAATGTGAGTCAGGTCTGCTCACATTTCATTGGTGGATGCAAACCACAGTGCAGAAGCAGGTGAGCTGTGCTCTCCCTCCACCTATGGGGGAGGCACTGCCAGTCACATGGCAGAGATCGGGCTATATAATTCTCTCATAGGGAAGGGAGCTTGTAGGTGTGACAATCGTACAATTTACCAAAGTAAAATCTACAGTATTCTGACTGAGTGCTAGGCACAGTGCTAAATTTTTCCTGTTTCGTTTTTCGCATTTACTGCTCACAATCCTATCATTGTCCCCATTTTACAGATGAGGAGACTGAGGCAGGGAGATGATATTTAATTTCCCTGGGATCACACAAGTGGGTAGACCAGAGATTTAACCTGCGTAGGCCACTCCAGAGTCCTTTCTTCTTATCCACTAAACTGTAACGCATTTGTGAATTTCTTGTGCCAAACCCTACGCTGGGTCCTTCAGAGAGTGTGATGCCTAGAAACTCATTACTTATTGATTCATTAGTCAACCAACATTTGATGAACACCTATTCACTGGGGCTAGGGAGGCGACAGCAAGATAAATAAGTAAAATATTACTAAATGGAGATAAGCACTAAGGAGAAGAATAAAGCAGGGCAGGAGGAGGAAGGGGTACTTGTGTGTGTGAAGCTGCGATTTTAGATATTGTGGTCAGAGGTCGTTCATTGAGAAGGTGACACCTGAGCAAAGATCTGAAGTGTGACAGCTGCTTGAGGGCAGGGATTTGTATCTGTTTTGTTTGAAGTTGTGTTCCCAGTGCCTGCGATCGGCACTGGCCTATAGTATGTGCTCAATAATAATTTGTTGAATGAATGAAAGAAGGTGAGGGAGGGACCTATGTGGATAACTTGGGGGAAGAGTGTTTCTGGCAGAGAAAGCAGTGCAAAGGCCCTGAGGCAGGAGGGTGTCTGGTGTGTTTCTGAAACAACAGGGGTCAGGGTGGCTTGAGCTGAAGAAACAAGGACAGAAAGAACATACAGGTCGCGTAAGGGGTACTCCTGAGCCACTGTAAAGACTTGAGCTTAACTCTGAGTGAAATGTAAAGCCACCAAGGGGTTTTGAGCAGAGATGTGAGAGGCATCTGACGGGTTTTCATAGGCTTGTTCTGGGTGATGTTGGAGAATAAAAGGAAAGAGGCAAGCGCTGGAGCAGGAAAGCCACTGAAATAACCAAGTCCTGCCCCGGGGCCCTGGAAACTGGGATGAACATATCCAGGAATCTGTCCACTGCAGTGATGTTAAACTTCATTGTGTATCTTAATCTCTTGTGCTACTTTAGTAAAAACGCAGATTTCAGATCCCACCCCCAGAAAACCTGATCTGGTGGGTCTGGGTTGTGGGTTTGGAGATCTGCCTCCCCTCATCTTTGATTGTGAAGCATGTGGTTCGTCTACTACAGTAGACGACTCGCTGGGGCCTAAATAATTGCCATCTGATAAATGGTACTTACTTTCCAAGGTCTGTTGGCGTTGGAGAGGGTTGGTAAACTGCACGCGCCGCCCGGCCTCCAGGATGGGTGGCAGACCCCTCCCATGCCCAGGGCATACACAAAGCGGGGTTCTCCTTCTGCCTCTGCCCCCTTCTAGGGCACAGAGAGGGCTGGTCCCGGGGAGCGGGGCGCGGGGAGTGGGGCGGGACCCGCGGGAGTCCGGAGAGGGAAAGAGGCCCCGTGGGCAGCGCTAACAAAGGGCGGTGTCCTATAAAGGCGGTGGCGGAGGCGGCGTCCAGGCGAGGGCGCGCACGGCCGGGCGACAGCGACAACGACGGCGGGGCTCTTGGCTCTTGGCGAGGAGGTGCGTCGACTCCGGGGGGAAAGTGGGCACCGCCGGGGCGGGGCTCGTGGGCCAGCGGCTCTCCTGCACAGACCCCGAGCCTCTCTGGCCCAGAAGGACAGGAGTGTCAAGGCGACTTGGTAGCAGCCCCCAAGTCTATCCGGTGAGAAGACCTGGGGGCTTTCTGCGGTCAGGGGAGGTGGCGCAGCTCCCGGGAGGTGGCCGGTCCCCTAGCGCGTGTTGGCAGGGCCGCCTCGCTTTGATATGCGATGCCGGGGACACCCCACAGCACCTCAGAGGGCCATTTAGATAGCTCCTGGGTCCCGGTGAGCAATTCCCGCACACCTGACAGGTGCGAAACTTCAGCACCAGATACTTTCCGGGATTAGGAAAGGCAAAGCACTGCAGGCAGGGGCAACAAAGGTTATAAAAATAAAAAAGGGAAAAGCCGGGAACTGAAGCGGGCGAGGGCAGCAGGTTGGGCGGGTTGGCAGCGGGACTTGGGCATTGAGCGCATCTTGGAACATGGGGCTCTCCGAGCGCGCACCCAAAGGCTGGTTGGTATTCACAGTCAATGTACATGCTCAGAACATGAGCATACAGTTGTCTAGTGAGAAAAGTAACTTGCATAATACTATGTATTCTGATTTATATTATATATGAAGAATATTGATCCCAAACTGGCTACTGCTGGGGAATGAGACTGACTAGGTAGGTAGGTAGGTAGGTAGGTAGGTAGGTAGATAGATAGATAGATAGATAGATTATAGATAGATAGATAGATAGATAGATAGATAGATAGATAGATAGATAGGGAGCCTTTTATTTTTTACTTTATGCAGTTGTGCACTGCTTGATTTTTTTTCTTTCTTTCTTAAATGAGCATGTGTTACTTCTACAGAGATTTCCAAAGGCAAAGCTGTGCCTGGTATTAGAGGTTAGGCACCTCCCCCTAACCCAACTAACGATACAAACCACCCTTCATCTCCCTCTTTCTGGGGACTGTTTTCACTTACTTTCAAGGGGAACATTCAAAGAAGAGGCATATATACAGGACTACACACCAGGAAGAGAAATTTAAAGGTTTGTAATAAAAGGGCTGCCGACAGGCCCCCCCGCAGGAGTGCTGCCGCTTGACGGTCCTGCATTCTTTCTAGCTGACCTGGGCGCTGTGTCCAGGACTGACCATCACAAAAAGGCAGCAGCGCCTACGGGAGGCATCAGTCGCCGTCTTTGGGGGTGTAATTGTCATTCTCTTCTCTGGTAACCTGTTACCTTCAGTGGTGAAGATGTCCTTATATTCCTGTTGTATTTACCATGACATTCCTCTTGCCCAAGCATTTGGATCCAGGGTCCATGACACCCACTCACCCGGGGGTATCTGGATAGAATTCAGGGGTTCTATGGATTTGAATGGGAAAAAATTCCATCTTTATTTCCACAAACTTTTAATCTAAATTTAGCATTTCCTTTACTTGCGAATGTGGGTAATAGACAGTGGCAGTTTCAGCAGCACCGGTGACTTTGTTGCCAATAGATATCATACTTTCATTTCATATTACAGGTGTTGTGGATCTCTTGAAAAATTTATTTACATATTGCTATGTAGAAAGTATGGTAATAAATCTATTGAATGTGTTAAAAAAAAGCAAAGCACACGTATTACAAAGCACACGTATTACAAAGCACACGTGTTGCAGTTTTAAAGTATTTTATTAACTATTAAGTATAATCGGTTACTTTATGTATCTGTGTATTTTAATTCATGCATTTGAAGTCATTATTTTGAGAAGGGAACCAAAGATTTTTTTACTTGATGTATTTAAAATCACTGTTCTGAGATAGAATCCATCTATAGGCTTCTCCAGACTGCCAAAATGGCCCTTGGCACAAAAAAAGGTTAGGGGCCCTGTCCCAGAGGAATCAGGGGCGACACAGAGGCACAAATACCCAGGCTTGGGACACAGGCTATGCCACCGGTTCCCTGTGTAACTTGGGACAAAATGCTTCACCCCTATTTTGACATCTATCAGATGTTTTCTGATTCTCTGGCATCTGGCTTATTTTTAAAGCTCTTAAAATATTCAGAAATCAAGATCAGCAGCAATCACTCCCTGCAACTGGAAGAATACCAAATGCAGTTTTCCTTTGATTTAATAAGGGTCTTAGTAATTTTCCTGTGACCTCTGCTGTGAATTTTTCCAGCTTGTTAAATCACTGATTTCTACTTCCCCCTATGGAGAAGGAGAGTAACGCACTTGAGGATAAATCAACAAGTAATTATTAAGCACCTCCTAGGACCGCAGGCCTCATTTCAGAAGCTTGTCTTCTCTTCCCCGGGTTTCCTCTGTCTGCTTCCAGACAATAGGATGGAGCCCTCTTAGACGAGAACACCCGTTAGTTTATCCTGCCTAATCTTTTTCTTCCCAGCTTGAAAAAGACCCCCGTGAGACTGGAGTTGACTTAGCAAATGAGCTAAACCCTCTTTTGACAAGAGAAGCTTGAAAGTAACTTTGCTCCCACAGTCTTGGCTGCAAAGAGCCAGCCTCGCTGTGAGTAAAATTTGAATTTTGTTTCTGTCTTAAAATCTTCCTGATTTAGGTTCAAGCTTTCGTATTTCAGGTATAGTTGGGCACAGTTCTGATAACACTCGTATTTTCATTGTAGAACCAAAGACTGGGTTATTTAGAAATGGCTTAGGTTAGGTAAGCGGCAATAGGCAGGCTGTTGTAGCATTTCAGAGCAGAAGGAGGCCTTGGGGAATCACCTGGTCCACCCCTTTAGTTTGGAAAGCTGCGTGGTCGGCCTGGAAGCTCCCCAGAATGCCTGGGCTAGCCCTGTTCTTCCCTCTGCCCATCACACAGAGCGGCCCCTCCATAGCCAGCAGCCAGCACAGTATGTGGCACGTAGTGTCAGTTAAGTGTTGATACAAAAGCTTGGAGGGCACATGAATGTAACTGGACCATGGCTCCGACTGGCAGTCTCCGCAGGGAGAGGAAGTGGACCTGAGTGGCTGGTGGAGGGAGCCTGAAGCCAGACAGTGAGCTTGGGGGCCATGCTGCTCACCCCTGGGTTCTCAGCACAGCCCTGGACTCTCCAACCCAAACAGAAGCAGGAAAGGCAGCATGAACCTGGCTGGGGCCATGTCCCCAGGCTATGTATTATAGATGACTGAAAAATGCCACTCTCTGGAATAATGACACTTCTCATCTGTGTAGGGAAGAAAGCCCTTGTATTTAGTAAGCACCTATGTTCCAGGCACACAGTATCTCGTTGATATATCTATGTACTTTATATAGTGTCTCATGTCATCCTCACAAGAACCCTGAGGGTGGCTTTATTTCCATGTTTTAGAGAAGAAAACTGAGGCTTAAAGAAGTTCACTGATTTTCTCAGCATCATATAACTAGGAAATTAGGAGCTGAAATTCAAAGCCAGGTCTTTCTACATTATAGCCCATAAACTTTCTTGATGTTTTTCTATTATGAAGCAAATAATATACGAATACTTTCTTATTATAAAAATGTAAAACTATACCAAACTATAGTATATAGAATAAAACACACGTCTCCTTTATCTGTCTTCCCCCCAACCTACTATCCTCCCCCAAGGAAGCACTACTGACAGTTTGACCTGAATCCTTCCAGGTATTTTTGGTATACACACACACACACACACACACACACACACACACACACACACACACACACATACCTATGTGCATGTGTGCGCGCCCATACACTCCTATAGAGTGAAACAAACAAATACATAAATAAATCTTTTCTATTGCACTGTAGCTTCTCCATTAGGAAAAATAAATAAATTACCATGAACATTGACTTATCTGTTTTATGAGTAGAGATAATTGTAATCATTTAACATTTATTGAGCACTTAACTGTGTCCCAGACACTGCCCTAAAGCACTTTCCATGTATCATTTTATGTGTCCTCACAGGTAGTACCCTGAGTTGCCCTTCACTAATGAGGCATTTGAAGCACAGAGAGGTTAAGAGATTGTTCAAGGTCACACAGCTAGGAGGAGTAGAGCCAGAAGTCAAACCAGAGTTCTGGCTTGAGAGCCTCTGGATGAACAGCCACGTGGATGCCTCCATGGATGGCTGACTCCATAGGACCCGGGCTCAGTGGTAAGAGAGCGGCTTGTCCCAGTTAGCTGGGATCGCCGTTTGATTCCTGTAGAAGGACAGAGATACCAACACGCTGTATAGTGAAGTAACTTCTGGAACATGTCTGCATCCTTAGGCCAATCCCAGCACTGTCTACAGCCCTGTCACCACAGCCAGCACTGCTTAGACGTGTATGGAGCATGAGTTCATACACAAAAACAGTGCCCAGCCCAAAGCAGGTGCTCTGTTTGCTGTCGCTTTCCTTACTGTATAGTTCACAGGATGCTTTCATACGCAGTGTTTCATTTGATCCTTACTACAACCCTGTGAGGAGAGAATGGCATCATTGACCTATTTGATAACTGATGCACTGAGGCTCAGGTGAACTGACATGGAGCGCCTCGTGGCTGGTTAGTATTTGGTGCTGTGCCGAGAACGCACATCTTCTGAGGGAAAGGGTGGCTTTTCCCTTCTGTTTAGTACTTGTGCTGTACCTTCCTCTGGGATGGCAGGTGTCTTATATGTGAATCTACTGCTTCCTTATTAAACGTAGTTCTGCTAGGCATCACAGTGTTCCTATTTGGAGAGCAGAGCAGTGGTTCTCAAGGTTGGCCGCACGCTGAGATCACTTGGAGGCATGCTGCTTGGATCTCACATCAAGAAAGAACTTGCAGTTCATTTGCAAGGAGTGCAGGTAGCCCGCAGCCTTCCCCTGCAATGCCTTCAGGATGGCACTTCCTGGGCAGTCCCCAGCCAGTGACGGAGCCTGGAAGTACGACCGGGGTCTGGCTACTTCTGCCCCGTGGGGGCTCCTCTAACCGGCGGTCTTTGCCCCAGAGCTCCATGTTGCTTGATGGCCACTTTTTCAGATCTGCATTGCAGGCTGAGGCTCCCCTGACCAGTCCAGCTTCCTCCCTGCTTTCCTTTCAAGGTGTCGGAAGTGCGTGGCAGTCTGGAGGCGTTCTTTGCCCAGTTCTGTGTTCTTCTCTTTTTATCTTTCACAGGCGTTAACCCCCTAGGAAACTGTTTGTACATCCAACTCTATTCAGCACCTGCTTCCCGGATGACCCAGCTGATATTCCCAGGTAGTTTTAAAAACTACCAATGTCCTCAGAGACTTTTCTTCAGTTGGTCTGGGATGCAACCTGGGTGATTCCAGTGAGAAGCCCAAGCTGAGAGTCACAGGAACAGAACAGGAGAAACGCTGAGAGGCAGAAGTCTCAAGTGTTTTCAATTAGAAAAGGACCTGCGTTCTCACAATTCCCTAGGTCCTCAAGAATTCGTTTCTTTAGGTTCTTTTCAAATAAAACGGGCCTATGTTTTCTTACCATACTTGCCAGTTTTTAACCCTCCAGCTCCTTCCTGCCATGTGGGCTGTTAACATAAACAACAGCTGTGGAAGGAAGCTGGCACTTTCAGAGGCTCTACTGAGTTCCTGACTTTCTACACGATGCTATCTCTCACCTAGACATGCGGGGTATTTACCCACAAACTCATATCCTGGTGAAAATCCAAATAAAAATAAAAGAAAGGTAGATTGTAAGGGAAAGTTCAATGGCACTGATCATTTTGGTCTTTTTTTTTTTTAATCATTTTGGTCTTTTTTTTTCGGATCATTTTGGTCTTGATATGATTCTTTTACACCTTTCTCTAGTCAGCAAGTGGCCCTTAGTGTGGGACTTTGTGCCGTGATCTCAAAGTGCTTCTGTCTGTGCTACCTCCCGCACCAGACCATCCAAGAAGCTCCTTGAGGTCAAGCACCCTGTGCGGCCATGTCCACAAACCCAGCTCATAGCACAGGGCCTGGCACAGAGTAGGTCTACATGAAGGGTTAAAATTTAAAAAAAGAAAAAAAAAAGGCACCAAGAACCAAAATATTACAGCATGATTGGTTATAGAAAAACAAAATCTCATCCCCTAGGAATTTTCCATACCCCACAAGTCATTTTTATTTATAAATATACATATTATCTTGTATTTATTCATCAACACTTTTATAGCAATTACTATGCATCAGGCACTGTTTTAAGTGGCTTAAAAATAGTAACTTATTTATTTAATTCTCCTGACAGCCTTGTCTACCACCAAGGGCTGCGGGAATTCAGGGAGGGGAGGTCGTGAGGTTGTAGGAGGGGCCTCTGGGATGGCCTGGGCAGCTTCACAGAAAAGCAGGCCTTTGAGCTGCTCTCTAAAGAATGTGAAGAAATAGGCAAGGTGAGTGAGCAGGGAACTCAAGCAACAGAGAATGCTGTGTGTAAAGGGATGGAGTTAGGAATATATACTACCCTTTGGGGGAACAGGAAGGGACCCACTGCCGAGGGAGCCGAGACTGGAGCAGGCGGCAAGCTGACAGCAGTGAGCCAAAAGCACCAAATTTTCAGGTACTGTGTTTTGGCTCATTTGCCGAAGCATCAGTCTAAGCCATGTGAAAAAAGGGGCCCATGCTTCTAAGAGCTAAATAAGATTTGGGCATATATTAGGATAATCACCTCTCCTAGCGTTGGAGAGTAACCTAAATGGAATCCTGGGGAGGCCTGGGTAGCTTCCACCGTATCCAGGCCCAGTCAGCACCCACACCTGCCCCTTGTCTTTCTTCTTTTGTCATGCTAAATGTCCCCACTTCTGTTCTTCGTCCAATAGTTTCAAGACTGTTCATCCTCCTCTAAATGTGGTCCAGTCTGGGTAGTTTAGCTCTTATACTCTGGGGCCCAGTTCTTTAGGTGAGGCCTACCAGCTAAGAGGAGAGTTGTGCTATCTTCTTCTTCATCCCAAATACGATCTCATTCATGAAACCCAGGATCGCAGCTTTTTTTTTTTTTTTTAGAATCCGTATTCAACTTTATAGGCTGAATATATATTTTAGTATTCAATCTTATATGTGTATTCAATCCTATCCTGTGCCTGAGTCTGAACAATTAGGAAAAGTTGGTTATAAAAGGAGTAATGAGAGTATTAGGGAAAAACAACCATATAACTGGAGGCTGCAAAACAGCCAGGGAGGAAAGGGTTAAAGGGTGTTGTTCTTACTTTGCCCTTTCTTCTGCCACGTTTTCTTCCCTTACCAAAAGGAAGATTCAAAAGACCTGAAAATGAGGAAATGAATTTCCTAAAATCTGGGTCGAGAAGATCTCAAGTTTTGGGCAGGACACGTGATACTCACCAGGCCTCTTACAAGGTACTGGCCCTCAGGGCCTTTCTTTTCTCCATCCCAGGAACTCAGCCATGACCAGGAAGATCTTCTCAAATACCAGGGAACGGTGGAGGCAGCAAAATGTCAACAGCGCCTTTGCCAAGCTGAGGAAGCTCATCCCCACTCACCCTCCAGACAAGAAGCTGAGCAAAAATGAAACTCTTCGCTTGGCAATGAAGTACATCAACTTCTTGGTCAAGGTCCTGGGGGAGCAAAGCCTGCAGCAAACGGGAGTGGCTGCTCCTGGAAACATTCTGGGACTCTTCCCCCAAGGACCCCACCTGTCCGAAAGGACTCTCCTCGGCGACTACCAGGTTCCGTCACCTGGCCCAAGCCACCACATTCCTTAGCGTGGCTCCAACTCTCGTCACCCAGGGCAGCACTTGTTCAGAAGTCACTGGCTGTTGATCACCTTTTGCATGTTGCAGCGTCAACTTGGTGAATAATTTGTGAGGCATGAATTTAAGCTTCATTAAGCGATAACTTGGGGACAGCTGCAGGGAGCCGAAAGGAAGTCACAAGAACTGTGGCTTTGGAGTCCACCATCCCCTGGGCTTCAGCCGGAGTAGCCTGTCTCTATTTTATATATCCAGGACCTCCATACAATGTTGTTTGAAGAAAAAAAAAATCATAGGTTAAAAAATCACTGTTTCACTCAATACGTTTTCAGTCATAAGGAAGGAGTTTTCTAATAATGCATCTCGGATGAGTAGAAGATGCTTCCCTCAGAATATATTTTAAAGTTTGTTTTGAAAAGTGAGGCATATTTGGTCAAGGGTGAATAACATAATTCTGCAGGTTGACACATTTAAAGATAGCCCTTGCAGAAACCAACCTGGAGCCTTACGGGGAAAATCTGTGGAGAAAAGGCCCTCCTGACATGTGAGGATTACACATGTGGAAGAGCTCTGCGTCCTCTATGGACACATCAGGTGTTACTTATGTTGAGCCACTTCTAT